AGCATATCCACCATACCTATGACCTCGTTTTTCTTGATCTCTCCAGAGCATTCGCCCAGTATTTCATCGGAGGCATTTTGGATCATCTTGACCATTTTCTGTAGATCTTTATATTCTTGATACACCAGCATCCTACTCTGGCCAATGTTAACATCAAGGACTCCGATAGCCTCTTTTGTTCTTTCTCGAAGTGGAATTGCAATGTGGGTTTCTCCACTGGTAGAACTCAAAATAACTTCTGAAGTGTCAGTGCACTTAAAGAGGAAATCTCTGAAACCAAACCAAATCAGCACAGGTCTGTTCACAGCATTCCACCAATAGACTGAATCACTACTCTCCCATGCCCGCCTCACTCCAACGCGCCGCCATTGTTCTCTCATCTGCCTAGAGTGCTGCACCCATCAATTTCATACGGCTGTCCTCCGGCTCAACTCATTTGGATGTTTCTCTTTGTGAACATCCCTTCAGCAGAGAGCCTTCTCTGACAAGCTGACCTAAGGTAGCAGCCCCAGGTTGTTCTGCATTGTCTAACATAGGGCAGTTATACTTAGCTGAAGGTGTGTTTTTTGTTCGTTTGTTTGCTTTTTTAATGTGCCGATAGTCTAAAATGTGTTAGATGAGTGCTGGAAGGTCCCTTAGAAGCAGAACCCCAGACTCCCTGAAGAAACCAGGGGACTGAGGAAGCAGGGTTGGGCGGATAGGGAGAAGCTAAGCAAATGTGGGCCTAGTCCCAAGTTGGAGACCCAGGATGTTAATTATAGCAAAGACTAAGTCTTATTCCGAGGCAAGGGAGACTTTTGCATCCTAGGACTAGTCTGTCATTGGCTGTCAGCTGCTCTAGGTGTGTGTGGGACTGAGGTGGGGGAATTCAGGGGAATCTTGGGTAATTCCTAAGGGGCTCTAATCACTTGAGGACACTTCCTTAGAGAAAGTTTCCCTGCAGGGAAGTTGTAGCAGTGGCTATAGCTTCTGGCCAGAGACATGCTGAGGATCTGGGCAGGGTGGCTGCAACCCCTGCTTCAGTGAGAGATTGAAAGTTTTCTTTTTCATGGAAATGTAGTAGCTGCTTCTTTCTCTAGGGAGGCAGACACGTCTCTTTTAGAAAAGTGTGGCCTCTCCTGTTTGTGTTAGCTAGTGATGAGAAGAACACATGCATTCTAATGTTGATAGAACAGTGAACAAAATTAAGTGTTGTTTGTTAAATTTAAAGAATAATAAATGGCCTGTGAGAACAAGTGTGCTAATAAAGGCAGAAGCTGTGTCTTCAGGTCTATGATCACCAGTCAGATGAACCAGATGTGTCTGATACCTGAAGATGCATGACTTTCTTGAAATGGTTGGGGGTTCTGTATAGATTTCTGTTAGACCAAGATATTCTGTAACCATCATTTTGCGTAAAACATACTCTTCCTGAAAAAGAGAAAGTGATCTCATTAGAAAGTAGTAATTGGAAGCTGGGCAGTTGGTGGCGCACGCCTTTAATCCCAGCACTGGGGAGGCAAAGGCAGGCGGATCTCTGTGAGTTCAAGGTCAGCCTGGTCTACAGATCGAGTGCCAGGAAAAACAAAAACAAAAACAAAACAAAAAAAAAAAAAAGCAAGAAGTAAATGGACCTTGAGTTAGATAAAGAGAGAAAACTAGGGAAGTTTAGATGAGCTCTGGTTTTAAGCATATTGAAGAATAATATTCCAAAAGTAAAAAATTTCAAAAGAATATAATTATTTTAATACATATTTTTTTATATCTGAAAAATCTGTGTGTTTATGCTTTTTTCTTGTTTTGTTTTGAGACAGGGTTTTACTATGTAGCTTTGGCTGGCCTGGAACTCCCTATGTAGACCATGCTAGCCTCGGACTCATAAACATCACATCTCTGCCTCCTGAGTACAAGGTGTGTGTCATATTAAAATGTGCATTGTGGGCCACTATGGTAGGGTATGCCTGTAATCTCAGCACTTGGGAGGTGGAGATGGGAGGACCATAAACTTAAGGTTAGTCCTGGTTACATAGTGAATTCCGAGCCAAGATGCTATCGCAATAAACAACAACAAAAAGCACTGTAAAACATTCAGAAAATACATAAAAGCCTATGGAGAATAAGTACAATAAAAATATTCTTCAATAAGGTCATTGCCCCTACTACTTCACTACAACTATTGCTGTCAAGGTTCTGAGTAAGTCATTTTCAAGTCTACTGGTCAAATACTAGTCATCATCATCTACTGTTTGGCAACATTTTATTTGCTGAACATTCACTTTGTTTTTCAGAGACAGGGTCTCACTATGTCACTTTGGTTGGAACTTGCTATGTAGACCAGGCTGCCCTTGAATTCCTGTCTCTGCCTTTCCAGTGCTGAAATTAAAGGCGTGTGTCACCACACACTTCTTCTTCTTTTTTTTTAAGATTTATTTTTATTTTTAATTATGTATATCATGTGTGTGAATGTACCTATGAGTGAAGGTGCCCTCAGGGACCAGAGGCATCAGATGCCCTGAAGCTGGAGTTACAGGTGATTGTAAGTCATCCAGTGTGGGTTCTGGGAATTGAACTCTGTCTTCTGCAAGAACAGGGTGCACCCTTAGCCCCACGCTATTTCTCCAGTATAATACTCACCTCTTGATAAGCTTTTCTTCATATGGTTTTTAGGACCCCATTTCCACTCTTCCCCAGTGTTCCTCCTACCTCATTAACATTATTTTTCATTCTCCTTGTTCATCTTTACTTCCCTTACTTCTAAGCAGTTTTCAACCTTTAGGATACATCTTATAGTCTCTTAAATATGAGCTGTAACCCACCAATGTAGGGGATGTTTACATAAAATTTTCATCATTAAACATTTCTGAATGTGCAATGACTAACAATTCATTCAAAATTAAAATGAATTGAGATGTTTCCAGCAATTTTTGTTCATGTTGTATCATGTGACATGTAACATATGCCCCATGTCATGCCATGAAAACCAAGGAACACTGCCTAAACAACACTTTGGCCCAGATTCAAGAGAACGTGTTGCAAACTGCTATGTTTTCATTATATATGCAAAACAATCAGCTCTTACAGAAACATAATGGTTTAATTGGGGGGAAACAAAGACTTTGTCTATCTATCTATCTATCTATCCATCCATCCATCCATCCATCCTTCTCTCATCTATCACACCCTGACCTTCTCTGCTCCCTGTCCTCCCCACCACCTCCCCTCTTCCCCAGATCCACTTCTCCAGTTCCCTTCAGAAAAAGAGAGGCCTCCCAGGGATAGTAACCAAACATGGCATAGCAAGGTAAAATAAGACTAGGCACCTCTCCTAGTATTAAGGCTGAAAATAGGGCAACCTAGTAGGAGGAAAAGAGTCGCAAAAGCAGGTAAAAGAGTCAGAGACAGCCCCCACTCCCACTCCCTGTCACGGCATGGCTCTCAAGCTGCACCTTGGCCACGCCCACCAGTGCTGCACCACCTTTATGCCAGCACATCTTGCAGGCAGGACAAATTGTAGGTTGAAGGTTTTGTGGCTGGTTGATGTCCCAGCCTCTCCAATCAAAGACTTGCCTTGTTACAGAAGATGGCCAGTTCAGGCTCTGTCTCCCCCATTAGTAAGAGTCTTAGCTAGGGCCATCCCCATGGGTTTCTGGGAGTTTCCATTGTACTAGGTTTCTACCTCACCCTGAAATGTCCCCCAATGGCAGTCGTCTATCCCCGTATTCTCTTCCTCATCCCACCCCCATCTGATTCCTGTTCCTGTCCCCATCCTTAGATCTGGATCTTTGATTTGATTCCATTGATCCACATGTCTGTTTTTATGCCAACACTTGGCAGTTTTTATTATTATATTTTTGTAGTACAGTTTGAAATCATGGGTGGTGACACCTCCAGAAGTTCTTTTATTGTATAGGATCGAGACAAAGACTTTTAGTATTTTTCTCCCATTATTCCTTGGCATTTAAGAATCAAATTAGTGTATCATTGGATTATATTGGTTTAGAATATTTGATTTTAGAAATTGCTGTTTGAGTTGCTCATTAAGTTTCATAAAAATTGTTAAATTAATTTTAATTTAATTTGGGTCTAGCACACAATTCTCAACAAACTTCTGCCTTTTGTGTTATGGATATAAGTGAAACAGTATCCTTAGAATGGATAATTGTAAAATTGGCACTTCAGTCAATTCTGAAAGTGTTGAAGATGTTCTCTCTATTACAGCATCAAATCTTCAGCAAGATTTTATTTCTTTATGTAAAAGTAAGCAAACACATCCATCTAATTATTTTACAAGTTCCCCTTTGCTTTCATAATTTTACATAAAATTATATGTATGACAAAGCAATCTTTAAAAATAAAATTTATGATTTGTTATTTATTTTTTCTTATTTTACATATCGATCCCAGTTCCCTCTCCCTCTCTTCCTCCCTCCCATGCCCCCAGACCACCCCCAACCCTCCCCTACTCCACATGGAGGGTGATGCCTTCCAGGAGGGATCAACAAAATCTGTTAAGTCATTTGGAGTAGGGACTAGGCCCTTCCTTCTGCCTTTAGGTTAAGGGAGTATCCCTCCATGGGGAATGTGCTCCCAGAGTCCTTTTGTGCATCAGGGATACATCCTGGTTCCACTGTCAGAGGTCCAAAATTTGTGATTAGAAGACATTGGATTTATAAACCTATTTTTCATACTTATTGGGTTGCATAAAAATTTCTTGGGCAAAAGGAGATAGCAAATGGAAAACACTTAAGAAGTCATGCTGGGGCTGGAGAGATGGCTCAGAGGTTAAGAACACTAGCTGCTCTTCCAGAGGTCCTGAGTTCAATTCTCAGCAACCACATGGTGGCTCACAACCATATAAAATGAGATCTGGCATGTGTATGCATAATAAATTATTTGAAAAAAAGAAGCCATGCTGTATGTAAACTATGGATCACAACCTCTTTGGGAGTTAAGTGACCCTTACACAGGGGTCACCTAAAACCATCAGAAAACACAGACATTTATATTATGTTTATAACAGTAGCAAACATAACAGTAGCAAAATTATAGTTATGATATAGCAACAAAAATTATTTTATAGTTAGGGATCACCACAACACGAGGAACTGTGTTAAAGGCTGGAAGCATTAGGAAGGTGGTGAACCACTGCTCTAGGAGAAGTTGGCAGTAATTGCCATGCTGAAACTGGACATTGGTTATGGTCTGAAGTCCTGCTAGGGCTCCTGTACCCTTAACAGAGACTTTGAGACATTGGAAGGGCGTTTTCCAGATTATGTTTGAAATCAAAACGAAGGCATCTTGTAAAGAACATAGAGGCAGGGATAAAATACTGAGAACTGGTGGTGGCAAGGCTTTGCCAAACTAGCAAGATCATCGTTAATTCGCTCATGCACCCAACTGCTCATTCAGTACTTCCACATAGATGTCTAACAGACATCTCAAATTATACCTAAAACCTCTTTGGAGCCAGGTGTGGTAGTGCATGCCTTTAATCCCAGCACTCAGGAGGTACAGGCAAGTGAATCTCTGAGTTTGAGGCCAGCCTGGTCTACAGACTGAGTTCCAGGGCAGCCAGGGCTATACAGAGAAACCCTGTCTGGAAAGGAAAGGAGAGGACTGGAAAGGAGGAGAGGGGAGGGGAGGACCTTTTATGTATATGTGTGTGTGTGTGGGGGGTGCTGGTGAAATGGCTCAGTGAGTGAAGGAGCTTGGCACCTGCTGCTATGCCTGATGACCTGAGTTTGATCCCTGGGACCTACAAAGTTAGGAGAGAACCAATTTCTGCTAACAGTTATGGTCTCTGCCTGACCACGCCATTACTAAGACGCTGGCTTTTGGGAAGAATGCCTTCCCCTAGCCTTTCAGTATGATCTTTTCACACTATAAATGGCCGTGCACAGATGAACCATGACCCTTGTGGTTTTGTCCATGCTGTCAAGATACCAAATTAAAACCTGGGAAGCCATGCTTCTTGTTGACTGATTTGAGCTATTTTAGCCATTTGCCTTAAGTGTTTTATTTCTCAAAACCCTGAAAAAATGCCCCTGAATCTTTCTCAGACTCCACTTTGGCCTTAAAGGAATGGTAGCCTGTTAGATGGAGTGGTTTACTCTAGGTAGGAGGGTAACTGAAAGCTCCTACTCCTATTCCTACCCTCCTCTCAAGGAATGATACAGAGACAAGATCGTCTCAACACCTCTACCAAGCATCAAGAGCACGGTGCTTCTGTTCTCTAATCCCAAGGCTTCGGCAGCCTGGACAAGCCGCAGAGAGAGGAAAACGGGGGCCCTATTTCTTTCCATCCTGACCCACATCTCACTATTGGCTCAGACTGACTTTGAACTCACTATTGTTTTGTTTCAGTCTCTGAAGTACTGGGACTGTGGGCCTGAACCACCATATCTGGCCTTACTTCCTTTTAAAGACAATGCCTTTTCATCCAGCCTCATGATGTGGAAAGCTCTAACGTTAAAGATGAGTAGAAAGAAGCGAAGCAAACATGGGGCAAGCATTCATTATACAGACCGGGGGGGGGGGCTTTAACATTCTTATTGCTATGATGTAATTGTGTCTGAACACGGCACTCTCACCACTGCCTACTTTACTCGTATAACTCTGGCATGTGTTGCCTCTTTGGCCACTGGATGTATGCCAGGACAAGTCAGAACAAGTTTTCTTTCATAGGTTCCAAAATTAGAACTTAAAAATACAATTATAATTCATGTGTATACTTGTGTGCCTGCTTATCTGTATGTGTACCTCATGTGTGTAGGTGCCCACAGAAGACAAAGGAACCCTATGAATTAGAGTTACAGGCAGGTGTGACCCACCTGATGTAGATGCTGGGAACTGAACCCAGGTCTTCTGCAAGGATAACAAGTGCACTTAACCACTGAGCCATCTCTCCAACTCACTCAAGTCAGAACATTTATTTTATATATCTGTGTGTGTGCGTGCATGAGTTCATGTGTGCCATGTGCATGCAGCAGCTCAAGGAAGCCAGGAGAGGGCATTGTATCTCCTGGAACTGGAATTGCAAATGGCTACAAGTGGCTATGTGGTTACTGGGAATTGAACCTGGGCCCTCTGCAAGAGCAGCCAGTGTTTTTAACTGCAGAGCAATCTTTCCAGCCCCACTCTCTATGGCTTTGGAGCATGTCCTGGAGCTAGCTCTTGTAGACCAGGTTGGTCTCTTTGAACTCACAGAGATCCATTTGCCTCTGCCTCCTGAAGTGCTGAGATCAAAGGCATGTGCCACCACTGCCCGGCTTTAACACTGGAACTTTTATTAAACTGGATTATTTCTCGCTAAGTATCTCACTTGCCTTATGGAGAAAGTCTTTCTTCAGGAGTTCCTGCATCTGGTCATGCTGGAAACCAGCTCAATTCCTACTTACTGTCTTTCTCACCTACATGAGAAACACACACCTGTGTGTGCAGTTTATGTGTGCCACATGTGTGGAGCTCAGAAGACAAGTCTCAATAGTTGATTCTCTCCTACTATCACGTAGGCTCTGGGGATCAAACTCGTCAGACATGCAAAAAGGTCTGTATCCTCTGAGCCAGCTCCCTCAGCTGACTCTTCCTCTTTCTTCATTTTGTTCAAGCAATGCTCCTTTTTGCCTATGGAGATTTGTACCAGATTCTTTTTATGTGCAACCAAGAGTTTTGAGTTGGGGCCATAATTTTATTTCATTGTTTTTTTTTTTTTTTTTTGTATGTGTGGTTCTGGGATCAAACCCAGAGCCTTGAGCATGCTAACAAGTGACCTACCACTAAGCAATATCCCCAATGATATGACCTAAATATTAAATCTACATTAATATTTAATAATTGTATAATATTGAAAAGGTGTAATATGGTCTGGCTTTGCCTACCTGCTCTGAGCTAGGTTCAATAAAGCTCGTGGTGATGGAGGTGATGCTAGATGTAATATTGAAGAGCCACCTGATGCCAGTGATCACAGTATGCAGGATGTGTTCCCTGCTGTGAACATAGTGGTAGGCAGCGCTGAAGGCACTGGCAACACCCTGTGAAGACAGACAATTCAGTTTACACTTTTTAAAATTACAAAGTTGTCAGCAATAAATGTCTCTTAAATTTATGATCAACAAATTAGTTAAAATCAGTTCTCAAGAGGTACTCTGAGATTCTGTTATACAAAAAGGAGCATCAAGACATTGAAAGTGTAGAGAGGCCCATCTAACTTTTTATGCTTTGCGATAGATATGTGTTGTCAGAAGAAGATAAACTTAGAAAGGAAAAGCCATTATTATTATTGAGACAGGTTCTCATTTATGTGGCCCTGCCTGCCTTGCCTAGAACTTGCTGTGTAGACCAGGCTGGCCTTGAACTCACAGAGATCCACCCACCTACCTCTGCCTCCCAATTCCTGGAATTAACCTGACTCCCAATTTTAATTTTTTTATATCTACCATAACTGAACAAAATGTTTGGTTTCAAGACCTATAAATGTAGTTATGGCCTTGTCAAAAAACTTTAGGAACCACAAATTCTTCAAAACCTCTCTCTCTCTCTCTCTCTCTCTCTCTCTCTCTCTCTCTCACACACACACACACACACACACACACACACACACACACACACACGGTGCACACCAACATATGTGGGAGAGACAGACACAGAGATCAGATTCAAGAGAGAGGAGGGAGATAGAAAGGTAGATAGACAGATGGATTGAAGTCATCTAAAAGTACCCCAGGGATTTAATTTCCAGGACTAGATACCTAATTTCTAATCATTTGGATATGGTCATTAATTTATTGACAACTCTATACCATTTGCTTCCTAATGCCTTTGTCTCATATTAATTTGACATGAGAATGAATCTTATTTTAAAAGATATTCAGAGAAAGAACCTACCAGTTTCCTTAGTTAACCAGTCAGTAAACAGAAAGCAAAGCATAAAGGCAAATATACATAAAGAACATGGGCTTAGAGGGACAAAGAGCATGCTTACAGTGAGCTCCTGACTTGCCACAGTCCACAGACTGTTGTGGGATATTTGTACACTTTGTGACGATGTATTTACTGTGATTGGTGTTAATAAAAACCTGAATGGCCAATAGCTAGGCAGGAGGTATAGGTAAAGTTTCTGGGGATAGAGAGGACTCTGGGAAGGAGAAAGGCAGAGACACCAGGAGACACAAAGAGGAAACAGGAGGTGAAAACTGGAAGAGATATAACACCATGCGATAGAATGCAGATTAATATAAATGGGTTAGTTTAAGTTATAAGAGCTAATTAGGAACAAGCCCAATTTATCGAATGAGCTTTTACAGTTAATTAATAAGTCTCTGTGTCATTATTTGTAAGCTGGAGCCCAAAGAAAGACATGACTAAAACAGACCATGGCTTTAAATCTATCTTCATTGCAATTTCTACCCATAAAATTAGATCAAAATGTTCTACTATTTCATAGTCTGAAATGTGCCTGACATTTTATGACCTAATCTGAAAACACAAATTCTCAAGAAATAGTTGAGCTTCTTTATTTTCCTCAAAAATTATAACAGAGCTGTGAGGATACATATTATATTTGGTATCTCATGGGAAAAGAACAAAGGAATTGATAGGGAGCACTATTTTTAATAAAAACAAACAAACAAACAAACATATCCCTTTGTCCTAGCTTCATTTTTGCTGCTGTGAAAAAATATGCTGACACAAACACCTCTGGAAAGAAAGGGTTAACTCCAGACTACAGTGCATTATTTTGAGGAAGTCAAGGCAGGAACATAAAGCATCTGAAACAATGGTTCTCAATCCATGGGTTGAGACCCCTTTGACAAACCTCTGTCTCCAAAAGTATTGACATTATGATTCATAACAGTAGCAAAATTATAGTTATGAAGTAGCTACGAAGTAGTTTCATGGTTGGGGGTCACATAACTTGAGGAACTGTGTTAAAGGGTTGCAGCTTCAGGAAGGTTGAGAACATTGAAAAAGCATCACATGCATAGTTAAGAGTAGAAAGGAAATAAACTTATGAATCTTTGCTGGCTTGCTACTATGCTCAGCTAGCTTTCTCCTAACACTGTTCAGGACCCCTCTGCCTTTGGAATAGTGTGCCTACAGATACCTGCCTTTGAACGGCGCTGCTCACAACAGGTTGGGTCTTCCTTCATCAATTAACAATCAAGATAACTCCTGGATGGGCTAATCTAGTCTACATAATTCCCCATAAAGACTCTCTTCCTAGTTATTCTAGGTTGTGCTAACAGTTAAAGCTAACCAGCACACCTTTCTACATGTGGGTCTCAGTGGTTTTAGTCATAAGTTCTGCTGCAAAGTTTCTGTTCCTATGCTAGGAAAGGTGATGAACAATATTCCCAGAGAGGCTCAGACACGGATGTGTCCAAGTCCTTCCACAAATTATAAGGAACATGTCAAAAGGCTGACAGATAAAGGAAGCAGAACAAGCATGATGGCACTGTCTACATACGGCTTTACTCTCCTCTGCTTTTGGGTTTGACTTAGGAGACATTTAGACAGAGAAGCTATTGACTACTGCTCTTGTATACTTCTAGATTACCTGATAGAATCTGATCTCATGAGGTAGGAAGATGTTTATTTCATGGGGATCTCGAAGAGTGTCAACCGCCAGGACCCCAAAGATCCTCATATATGCATCTTGAAGAGGCAGAGCCAGTAAAGACCCATTGTGCTCACTCTTGCTTCGGGTATTGTTCCAGAAGAAGATGTTCCCATGGTGCTGAACTTGTGGGACATGGATTGGTTTGCCTTCATCCACTACTGTAAAGCTATTGAAAAGGAATACAAGGATAAGGAAACATCACAGGCTTTAGATTAAACCATAGAGAAAACAAAATATAGTCTTCTACAATTCTAAGCATTATATGTAGAAGAGGTGGATCAGGTAATGTAGAGAGCTGCGAAGTGCCGTGCCTTAAAGATGGCGCTGGCTTCTGCCTTCCACTTTCCCGATGGTGAGCACTCTCTGTCATAAACAAGTCCTTATTTGGCTAAGCCTGTTCAGCTTGCTTGCTTGCTTCCGTATAAGAGCAGCCTATCTGCAGGGTCCACGTGGCTCACTAGGGTTGGTCAGCGCAAGAGGATTTAAGCCAGTGCGGGCATTTCCCCAGAGTTAGAAGAAGAAGCTTGTTCAAGGATCCTGATTAAACTGCTAGAAGAAGATCTCCCCTGAGTTGCATCTTCCTTGCTGGTCGAGGTTGGGTGCGACAAGGTAATGCCAACAATTTGGAGGGTCTGACTTGGAAAGTTTTAAAAAATAATCATAGGACTAGAAGTAAAGTTCAAAGGTAGCATGTGCGAGAAATCCAGTTCAATCTCCAGTATTGCAAAAGAGAAACAGAAATAAGGAACCAATCTTGGATTTTAACAGAAGAAATATATATTATACTACATGCCAGGGCTACAAATTGTGGAACAAACATTGTAAAGGCGAGCCCTTAAACAGTGAAACATTTCCAGAGGGAGTTCTAAGAATGATCTGGTAAAACCAATTAGAACCATGAGGCTTGAGAGATGAATCAATAAGAAAAAAGAAAAAAGGAAGAAGAAGAAGAAGAAGAAGAAGAAGAAGAAGAAGAAGAAGAAGAAGAAGAAGAAGAAGAAGAAGAAGAAGAGAGCACGAGCGAGCGAGCACACTATTTCTCTTTCAGAGGATTTGGGTTTGACTTCCAGAACTGACCATAACTTTAGTTCCAGGGGATCTGATACCCTCTTCTTGCCTCTTCAGGCACCAGGCATGCAAGTGGTGTATAGACATGAATGCCAGCAAAATACCCATACACACAAATTAATTGATAAAAATACAACAAAACCATTTAGGACTGGAAGTCCATCAGGTCCCACTCTGGAAGCACTGGTGACTTAGAGACAATTCTCTCTTAAGCAAATCACCAAGGTTCAATGCCAGTTTTCTTCAAAAGGGAAACTATTGTTTTAGAAAGATGTGACCAGAGCCAGGCATGGTGGCACACAACTGTAACCCAGCACTTGGAAGGTAGAGGCAGGAGGATCAGGAGTTCAAAGCCAGCCTTGAGTACACTGTGAGTTGGAAGCCAGCCTGAAGTACATCAGATCCTATCTTTAAAATAGAAAGAAACCGACTCTTCAACAGGTTCTTACCTGATTCCTTTCATGTCCCTGTAGAGTACTTTGTTCAGGACAAATGGAGCATCATCTAGGGTACAAGCCACATTCCTCAAGAGAACATCACCCCTGCTTGGCAGGACTAGGTTTTCTTCTAAGAGGGAAATGTGAGCACTGATCTTCTTATTTCCATGAGCCTCAGCATCCTGTGGCAAAAGATTTCGGATCATGTGTTTGTATCTGTCAACAGCTATAGAGATCCCCTAGCCCCTAGCCCCTTTGCTAGCCTGTTTGGGAATCCAGCACCAATAATATCATTGAATAAATGTTGCAGAGGTTACCAAACATGGGCAGTGGTGAAAAGGCTGATACCGTGTTGCCCTTCAAACCTGAGTTGTATTTAGTCAGTCTTATATGTAGTTAGATTCCTTTACTGAAAATAAACATGCTCCAAACAGAAATAAAACCTCTTAACTTTAATCAAATTTAAAGGTTCAAAACTGAGATTCTTTGGAACTGCAATCATAGTTGAAGGTGAGGGACTTCTGTAGAATATTGATTTTGGAGGGCTGCAGTTAGAGGATACCTACATTCTTCTTATCTTTCACCATCTAAACATGAGTGTAAAAACAAAACTCTGGGGGGGGTCTGCTTTAAGTTTTAAAAAGATCTTTTTATTTTTATGTTATGGGTGTGGGTTATCTGCCTGCATGCGTGTGTGTGCTCCAAGTGCATGCCTGGTGCCAGCAGAGTCCAGAAGAGGACATTAGATCTCCTGGAACTGGAGTTACAGGTGATTGTGGGTCACCATGTGGGGGGATGGAATTGAAGCTGGGTCCTCTGCAAGTGCAACAAGTGTGCTTAACAGCTGAGCCATTTTTCCAGCCTCAAGGAATTCTTAACAGCATGGATGTGGTCAGGAACATTTCAGGAAAGAGTTTCTTGGAGAGTAAGACTGTCGACTTTCTGTTTTAAAATTCACATATAAAGATTAGATTTCACTGTGGCATTCATTGAAGTTTGTTTTTGTTGTTTTTTCTTTCCCCCATTTATTTCCCCATTTTCTCTCCCTTGTCATCCCCCCTCCCCTATGGCCTCCTTTCTGTTTTCATGTCACATGTGACCCTTTGCACTCCCCTCTCCTCAACACTTCCTGTTCCCTTCTTGGGGAATATCTCAGATTAATCAAGACAAAAGCTTCTGGGTACACCTGTGAAGGAGTTTTCTTGATTGAATTATTTGAGCAGAGAGAACCCACACTAAATTTGGATCTTTTGAGGGGGGAAGATCCAACTTAAATCTGGGCCAAACTTGGTGGCAGGCTATATAAAGGATATGGGAGGACAAAGTATTGCTCTTTGCCTGCTTGCCCTCACTCTCCCTGGCAAGTTCATTCCTTCATTAGTATTGGAGTTAGTTCTTTGGGATTCTGGTGTATACTGAAGACCAGCTGAGACACACAGCTTCATGAGCTGAACAGCTACTGGATTCTTTGGCCTTGCATTGGTAGACAGCCATTGTTGGACTAGCTGGACCACTGCTTGTAAACCATTCTAATACTCGCCCTGCCTTTTATTTGAGATAGGTTCTTTCTATGTCCTGGATGTCCTGAGCTCACAATATAGATCAGGATGGCATTGAACTCACAAAGTTCCTCCTGCCTTTGTATCCTGGATGCAGGAATTAAAGGTATGTACCATCCCACTGAATCTCTCTCTCTCTCCCTCCCTCTCTCCCTCTCTCCCTCTCTCTCTCTCTCTCTCTCTCACACACACACACACACACACACACACACACACACACACATACACACATCCTATCAATTCTGTTTCTCTAGAGAACCTGAATAACACATTCCCTTTATTTATATACACATATTTTTTAAAAAGTTAGGCTCTGCATATGAGAACATGCAATTCTTATCTTTCTGAGTCTGATTAACTTCACTTAATATTTCTAGAGTGTTCCATTTTCCCGAAAACTTCCTAATTGTTTTTCTTTACAGTTGAGCCACATTTTCATTAGCCATTACCCTATTGGTAGCCATCTAGGCTGCTTCTTTTTCTTTGCTAAAGTGAAAAATGTAGGAATAAATGTAGATATACAAGTATCTCTGTGGTATGATAGAATTTTTTTGGTATATGCTCGGGAATGATACAGCTGAGCCACATGGTAGCTCTATTTTTAGCTTTTTGAAGAACATTCACACTGATTTCTGTAGTGGTTGCATTAGTTTATACTCTCATCAGTAATGGATAAGGCTTCCATTTTCCCTACATCCTCACCAGCTTTTGTGGCCATTTGTTTTGTGATCTTAGGCATTTTGACTGGGATGAAATGGAATCTGAAACTAGTTTTAATTTGATTCCCCAATGACTAAAAAAGCTGAAACTTTACCTGTCTGTCTGTCTATCCATCTATCCATCCATCCATCTATCATTTTTTTGAGATGGGGTTTTTCTGTGTAACCTCACTGGCTACCCTGGAATTCACTGTGTAGACCAGGCAGGCCTCAAAATCAGAGATCCACTTTCCTCTGCCTCCCTAATGCTGGGATGAAAGGCATGTGCCACCACTGCCTGACTTACTTACTTATTTTTTGAGACAAGGTCTCATTATGTAGTTTTGGCTGACATAAAAGGTTCCCTGAAATCCATTTGGTGGAAGGAGGGACCTGCCCCAACAAGTTTTCCTTTCACCTCTACACACATACCCTCCCCAACAATAAAAATGAAATTTAAACAATGAAAAATTCTTTTTTTGATGGGTAAATTGTTCCTCAAGCATTATGCAAAGTAAATTCAGCTTGCACTGTTGCATATCTCCCTGCTGACAGTTTTCATTATCATTCTATTACTAGTCTTAGCATATTTGACTTTCAGAACAACTAAATTTCCAGAACATCATTTCCACATCTGTCTCCCTCCAATCATTCCAGCTTTATCTCACTTTATCTCACTTGCTTTATTTTTTATGTGTTTTTTTTTTTTAAAGACAGAACTTTATGTAGCCCAGCCTGGCCTCAAATTCAGTATCTAGCCAAGGATGATTTTTAAATTCTGATCCCCTTGGCTCTCCCTTCTGAGAGTTGAGATTGCAAATATAAGTCATGCAGGCCTGACTGATGAAGAGTTGGGGATTGACCCCAGAGCTTCATACATGATAGGCATCCAACCAATTGAACTACATCTCTAGCCCCTCACTTAGGTTTGAGTCATTTATAATTTGTTTAAAATAAATAAATCATCTGTAGCATCACTCAGTGATTTTTTTTTTTTGCAGTACCCAGTGTTTTTTTTTTTTTTTCAAGCAAATTGTATGTGTTCCTCCTATGTAGCCATTGAACATCACATGTGAGAAAATGTTTCCTCCTGCATCCCTTCAGAAAGCATACCTGAGTGAGGGCCCTAAAGGTCTCAGTATACACTGGCTCCAGCGACACCCCACTTGTCTCTGCAGCATGTTGGATCTGATGTAGCCATTTCCGTCTTGCACAATTCCTTAGACCCTCAGTGTGGCTCCTCTCTAAAGAGCTCATCAGGAATTCCACAACACTCTCCAGAACTTGGTCTTCATTGCCCCTGAGTTCAGACACAACCAATTCTATGTACTTCTGAAACTGCTTTAAAGACAATTTTACTTCAAGACCAGGATTCGGCTTTGGAAATTGAATGTGCAGTTTAGCTGAAAGACACAAATGAGAAACAGAGAATGGACTAAAAGATCATTAATCTATGGGGACTCTCTCATTTCCCTCTTACAGCCCTTATGTGTGTGCTCTATGGATAACTGAGTACATTAAAGGTATCCCGAGCACCGTGATTGACCTATACTAACTCAGTATGAGTACTATGCTGGCTATATTTTTGTTTCAACTTTACCTCCAGCCAGGCGAATTCCTAGAGTCTACTGTAACTCCTCTTGGCTGTTTGCCTTCCATATCCTATCCTGTTGCTCTTTGGCACTGTCCCTGGTGGCCACTCATTTTCATTCTGACTTTTATAACTCCAAACCTATTTTATCACTTTATAGTAGACTTGCCAATAGTAAATGATTCCTTCATATATATTTTTTGGTTAAAAAATATATATGTCTAGCCTTTAATGGCTGAGCCTTCTCTCCCGTCCCATATATATTTAAAACTAAAACACTACTTGTTGAGCTAGGAATGTGGCTCAGTGGTAGTATACTTGCCTAGCATTCACAAAGCCCTGGGTTCAATTTCCAGGACAACACACACACACACACATACACACACACACACACACACACACACAAGCTTACATTATGCAATTCTACAGTTCATGTTCTTACTTGAATCTGATCTAGTTTCAATTCATACCTGCCTTCCATACCATCAAAGAATGGTATTCTCATCCTACTTATAGTTCCTGACCATGGCTTGCATATATATGCATCCACACTCAAAAAAAAAAAAAAAAAAAAAAAAAAAAAGAGTACTCTTCTACCATATATTATATCCCAATTGAAATTTCCCCTCCTTCCCCTCCTCCCGGTCCTTTCCTATCACCTCCACTCTCCCCCAGATTTACTTCTCTTCCATTTCCTTCCAAAAGAAAAGGGCAGGCTTCCCAAGGATAGCAACCAAACATGGCATATCAAGGTGCGAGGAAACTAAGCACTTCCCCTCATATTAAGGCTGAATGAGGCAACCCAATAGGAAGAAAAGGGTCCCAAAAGCAAGCAAAGGAGTCAGAGACAGCCCCCAAGAAGACCAAGTTACACAACTGCAACATATGTGCAGAGTGCTTTGGTTCGACCCATGCAGGCTCCCTGATTGTCAGTGCAGACTCTGTGGGCCCCCATGAGTTCTGGTTAGATAATTTTGTGGGTTTTCTTGTTGTGTCCTTGACCCCTCTGGTTCCTACAATCCTTTCTCCCCCTCTTGGGCAGGATTCCCCAAGCTCAGCCTAATGTTTGGCTATGGGTCTCTGCATCTGCTCCCATTAGTTGCTGGACGAACCTTCTCTGGTGATGATTATGCTAGGCTCCTGTCTACACATATAGCAGAGTACCATTAGGAATCATTTATCTCATTGACTTTTTTGTTTTTGCCAGTTGTGTTTGGTTCTGTCAGGTCTCTGGACTACCCACAGTGTTTTTAAATTCTATTTTTGCAGTGTTCAGGATTAAAATCAGTGTCTCACACATCAGATATGCACCCCAGCACTGAAGTATGTTCCAGATCTTTTCTTTCATTTTCCTTTTTAAAATTTTAAAAAAATTTATTATTTTACATGTTTGCCTGCAAGCATGTCTATGTATCACAGAACTGGAGTTCATCTCACAACATATGGGTGCTGGAATTTGGAACTAGGTCCTCTGGAAGAGCAGCCAGTGCTTTTAACATCTGAGCTATCTCTCCAGCCCTCTTTCATTTTTCTTTTGTATAATGATGAATCTACTATCAAACTTGAACATTAACAGTAGCTTACCTTTTTTATCCTCTTCTGTTCTGTTCTAGCCCCTGTCTCCTTGCATCTCTTACCTGAAATTTGGCTTTTTCTTTTCTTTTCCTCACACTGTCACAGTTATATAACAGTGACTGTGTTGTACATGAATATTCCTAAGCATTACATAGTTTAGTTTTACCTGTTTGTAGACACCAAACAAAGATTATCAAACCACATGCAGTTTTCTTGGACTTGCTTTTAAAACATTTTATTTTTATGTTTATGGGTGTTTTGCTTGCATGTAAGTCTGTATACCACATGCATGCCCTTGGAGACTAGGAGAAGGTATCAGGCTCTGACAGCCCATGCCAAGCTATTCTCACAGATGCCATTCTCAGTGCATGTGAACTCTGATGCTCTGCGCTGCATCACCTTGGCTTTCTCTGACCAGAAGCAGATGCTTCCCTTATTCCACCCATCCATCTGGCCTTAGGACCAGATTGCTCAAGGAGAGAAAGGAATGAGAACACACAAAGAATAGTAAGAAGATGAAGCACTTTTTTGGTTTGTTTTATTTTGTTTTGTCTTATTTTTGAGATAGGATCTCTCTAGCTCTGGCAGTCCTGAAACTCACTATGTAGACCAGGCTGGCCTTGAACTCATAGAGATCCTCCTGACTCTGCCTCTGTATAGACTTGCTGTATATTTCAACATTTGTATCGCATGTTTGGGTGGGAGGCTTACAGTAGGTGGGTTGGGGTTGACTAAAAGTTCTGAGGGCCAATGAATCAGTTCATACACATATCATACTTCTCATAGCTCTTTGTCCTTCAAGAAATGCTCTTCCCAAAAGTTGTCTCTCAAAAGCTCTAAGATTTCTCCTTAATAGTTTTCTCTAATAATTTTCCCTCTATAAGCTCTCTCTTACAGTTCTCTTCCTAAAGTTTTCCTTATAAATTCTCCTAGAGTTCTTCCTAAAAAGTCTCCAAAAGTTCCTTCTCTTCCCACAAGGCTTCTAGTTTTTATATCCACAGGTGTATTTAACAGCTCTCTGGCAACAGGGCATGGCTCTCTCAGAGCCAGGAAGGCAGATAAAATCCTGGAGAAATTCGGGTACCTCACTTGCAACAGTGCTGTTAACTGGTTAAAGAGGACTTCTCAGTGCTGTATCAAAGGGGAAACTAAGGATACTAGTGTGAGATCTGGAGGCTGCAGCTCCCTGGGAGAAGGAATTCCTTTCTCTGAGGATTATTTGAGAATACAAAGCACCCAGTATATAGTCTATATACAGCCAAATTCGTAGTAACAAATATTCTGGAGTTGATACCTAGAATATTGATTGCTACTTCTGTGATAAATGATAAAGGCTCACAGCACATTTCCATAATAAAGTGTTGAGCATAGGGAAGATGAGAGGACATAGAAGCCAGCAAAAAGGACTAAGCCTGGGGAAATATGAGCATTAACACCATGATAATATTGGATTATAATCCAATGACTAAAATAAGAAACTCTTGTATTCTATTATAAACAAAAATTTTGACAAAAGAGAAAAACTTTTATAAAGTTTCAAAGTACATCTACAAAATACTATTCATAAACAGAAAAAAAGTAACTTTAAAGTAGAAGGGGCTCAAGAGAAAAAAAAACTTATTTTGAAAAAAAGCTTATCTTGAGAGTTCTCATGTATCCCAGACTAGCCTTGAATTTGCTATGTAACCAAGGCCAGCCGGATTCTACAGATGTGCACCACAAAACCTAGTTTATCAAGTGCTGGGAATAAAACTCAGTGCTTTGTGCTGGTGAGGCAAGTGCACTTCTAAGAGAATTCAATAAGAATAATACATTGATTATATGTTCTAATCCTGCCAAAAGATGAATAATCTAGATTTAACCACAAGGAAACATTAGACAATCCATGTGAAGAACATACTACAAACAACCAGCTTACAATCAAGGTCATAGTAACCAAGAAAAGACTGAAGATTTTCCGAGGGTTCCTAACATCACAGTTCTCTAGTAAAAGAGTAGTAGTTTTATGTTATCTAGAAGAAGTAAAATGTATGAAAAAAAGAAAAGAAGAAAAGAGGGGAAAAAAGTCAACAAAGAGGACAGGCAACTTGGGAGGCAGAGGCAGGTCAATTTCTGTGAGTTTGAGGCCAGCCTGGTCTACAGAGAGTTCCAGGACAGCCAAGGGTACACAGAGAAACCCTGTCTTGAAAACACAAAAACAACGCTGGATGTTGTTGGCGCATGCCTTAAGTCCCAGCACTCGGGAGGCAGAAGCAGGCAGATCTCTGTTAGTTTGAGGCCACCCTGGTCTACAGAGCTAGTTCCAGGACAGGCTCCAAGCTGCAGAGAAACCCTGCCTCAAAAAACAAAACACAAAATAATACAATACAATACAAAAAAAAAAAAAAAAACCAACAAAAAAAGAAAAATAAAAAGCAACAAAAATCATTATGGAGACTAAAGAATTAGTATATTGAAGAGGAACTTTAGACCCAGCCAGACTTGACAGTTTAGAACTTACAAAAGCAGGGAAACTTAGAATCTAGACAGTGATGCTGCACCATTTGAGAACTTTTAACTCAGAAATGGAGTTCTTAATAAGCTCACAGACGGAATCTGACTGGGCTCAAGGTCTGGGCTCAAAACACTCTGCATGGTGCTCTACTCTTGAACACACATGTGTTCCTATCCATCTACACACACTGTGAACTCACTGTTTTCCACTAACAACTCTAACTTCTGGGTCTGGTGGTACAGCCTATAATCCCAGGTACTCAGTGGGCTGAGGCAAGAGGATTGAAAGTTCAAGGTTAGCCTAAATTACACAACCATTCTAAAGCCAGCCTGGAAAACTTAATGAAACTCTGTTTAAAAGAAAAAATGGCTGGGAGGCAGAGGCAGGCAGATCTCTGTGAGTTAGAGGCCAGCCTGGTCAACAAAAAGAATTCCAGGACAGTCAGGGTTACACAGAGTCTCAAAAAATGTAAATAAATAAATAAAATTTAAAAAGTAAAGAAAGGGATAGAAAAAAGGAAAAAAAATTAAATGTACCGGCAGGTTTGAAACAGCCAGTGTGTGTGTGTGTGTGTGTGTGTGTGTGATACATGTTTATGAGTGTGTGCACTTGTGCATGTGGAGGTCAGAGGTTGATGCTGGCTTTCTTCCTCAACTATTTTTAGACAGGGTCACTACCAAACCCAGAGCTCACTATTTAGCTAGACTGGCTGAGCATTATGCTCCTGGGATCCTTATGTCTCTGCCTCCACAGTGCTGAGGTATCTGACCTCTGCTGCAGTTCCTGACTTTTATGCATGTGCAGGGGATCCAAATTCAGAGCCTATGCCTATATAGCAAGAACTTTAGCAGCTGACTCACTCACTCCCCAGCCTCTAATGCTTGTTTTTGACTTTGTGTATATGGCACAGTATTGAGAAGCTGAAAGCCAGGTTAGTACCACAATTTAATTAGGAACATGCTGATATTTTACCTTTCTTCATAGACTCTCTTTCCATTCCCTCTTTATATTTATACAAGAGATCGTCAACATCATCCAGATTCAGAAAGCCTGAGCCATCATTGTCCCACTTCTGAAAAAGGGCTTCTAGAAGAAGTGCCCGCCTGATTCGGAAAGAATTTTGTCGAGCCTAGGAAAATAAGCGCAGGAGATATAGTCTTCAGTGTGGTGACAGGCATCCTGTATTTAAAGGAAGTATAGCATTTCTCTCTCTCTATTCCTCTCTCTCTCAGAAACAGCTTTGCTTTGAGGCTAAGGATATCAGAGGGAAATGCAGAGACTGATTTTAATCCCCTAATTGCCATTTCCCTGTTTCACTTCTCATTCAAAAACATCCAGGAATTTGCAGTACTGAGGCCAACATGTGATTATTTCTTTTCACTCCCTGGTTATGCAAAATGATGATAAACAGGCAGTTCTACCTGGCTTTTTAAGGACATGTGCTTGATAAAGGAAAGGGATGAATAAATCACAGTGTTCAAATAACAACAAAAATGGCTCTGTTAAAAACAATCCTGATGAGGCTGGAGGGATGGCTCAGCAGTCGCCAACACATCCTGCTGTTCTCCTGGATGATCCCAGCACCCACATCTGACAGCTCACAACTGCCCACAACTCTAGCTCCGGTGGTCCTCTGCCCCTCGCTCCACGGACACATAGACTCATATGCATACACACAGACACACGTGTACATAATTAAAAAGAAAATAAATCTTTTCTAAAAGAATAAGGAAAATGTTTATATTTAACATTTTAACATTTATTTAACCTAACATTGATTTTTTAAAAACATTTTTAGATGCCTGTATTAGATAAAAATTGGCAATTATTGAATTACTATACAGATAAATTTAATTCTAAAAATTATGAGTATGGGGGCTGGAGAGATGGCTCAGAGGTTAGGAGTGCTGGATGCTCTTCCAGAGGTCCTGAGTTCAATTCCCAACACTCACAATGGTGGCTCACAACCGTCTGTAATGAGCTCTGGTGCCCTCTTCTCACACGCGGCAGAACACTGTATACATAATAAATAAATCTTTAAAAAAACGATTAATAAGCCAGCCATGATGGCACATCTCTATAGTCTCAGTATTCAGGAGGCTAAAGCAGAAGGACTGTGAATTAAAGGGTAACCTGGGTTACATAGCAAGACTCTCAGTCAAAATATCAAGGGCTGGATGTGTAGCATAGTGGGAGAGCACTTGCCTAGATTATGCAATACCGTAGGTTTGATCATCAGCACAAGACACACACACACACACACACACACACACACACACACACACACACACACACACACACACACACGAGAGAGAGAGAGAGAGAGAGAGAGAATATGTGTGTGTGTGTAAATAAGTACTTTTTGGTTAAGGGGAAGGGACAGCATTTGAGGAAGCCAACGTTAAATCAAGTCTTGAATAAACTCTGTGGGACTAATTCCTACATTTCTCATGAGACAGAGTAAGTTGCTCATTTAAGGTAATGTGTGTGCATGTACTTATTACTTAAGAAAGCAGAAAGTGCTTAGGAAATGTGTTCCACTGGGGGCCCATGAATAAAGACACATATTCAAGGCATAAACATGACCCTAAGTATGTGCATTTGCATATGCCCTCACATGACAGGCAGTGCATACACACATCTTCACATTTACATATATCTGTACCTCGGGCTTCAGAGAATAGAAACAAAATTACATCCTGAGCCATTTCTTGCCAGAAGCAATCACGTCATTGTTAGGAAAACGGGTTCTCTGGAGTGTGATATGGACAATCAAAAGGGCATTTAATGTGTATGCGGGTTGAACTAAAGTGGTACACTGGGGTCATACATTTTTATAGAGATACCACACTAGGAGCAACCGAGGTTGGGAGATTTATGAATAATAGTGACCTTGGAAAATAATATTACCCACCTGCTCTAAGGCGTTTATTTTCTCTTGTTTTGTTTCAAAATAGTTCTTCTGAAAAAAGGAGGTGAGTCTCTGGCTGACACTTAAGGGGGTATCTTCACCAACAAATGTCTCTAGGAGTTGTATAAACTGCAGTGAATTGAGGGACGTTCCATTGAAGGCACTCCTCCCTTTTATTTCCTTGTAAGTCTGAATATTCCTAATAATTGCATGTAGGTCTGTGAAGCAGGAAAATATATTAGACAGTAAACACTTCTCTCAAATTTTATGGGGAAAGATAAGTCCCTGATATGATAGAAACCTGTAATCACTTTGTTTTGGAGCATGGACTGACTATAAGGCTTTGCTCATCCTAAGCATGGCCAGTACTATTGAGCTAACCCCCTGCCTCCAGCATCCACAGGTTCTGCCTCTCAGAGGCATTTCCTCTATGATGATAGCGTCCGTAGTTTTCTTTGGGGGAACAGTTCTCTTCCATTGTCAGTTTAAAGGAGTGAGATGGCACTGAGCCTTCCCACCCTTGTTCCATGGGTGTATAATACAAGACTTGGTCAACAATTCATATATGACAACAATGCAACCTACTATATAGGCCGATGAGAATTAGCTTCAGCACTGTTTTGAGAACTACTAGGGAAACTTTTGTTTTGTGTTCTGATTGCTGAATTAGTAGGATAGGATACAAAAATGGATGCTCCTGTGGCCATTTTTGAGGCAATGTGAAGAAAACTGCCTAAAATAGAAAGTGACAGAGAGAATATGGCTGAGAAGCTGAGAGACAGTGTCCTCTGTTGAAGTTGTTTATGCATAAAGCCAGTTACATCCTGAACTTCCCACATAAATGCATTAATAGATGTTACACACAAGCTCCTCTCCCTGAGGGTGTCAGCTAATGTATTTGTCTTGGAGAGCAATGTGACAACATGAGGTATTTTTCATAAAATGTCAGCGTACTGACTCATGTTTCATTTACTCATTGATTAAATCACTTATGCCATTATGTCTTCTCTGTGGGATCTGATATAACTTAGAAATAATTACTCATGATATTTTAAAAACATTGCCAATAAAAATTGACATAGATGAAGAACATAAACTTGCCAGCCATAAGAACTTAACAAACATTATGTATGTCCATTAAAATGTTTCGAGGACAGGCAATATGTTGTTTTTGCCTTGGAAAATGGTTTAATGGGTAAAGTGCTTTGCTGTGGAACCATGAAGAGCTGGGTTTAGATCTGTGTAAAAACTGGGTACAGCAGCATGTGCCTATAACCCCAGTGCTATGGGATGTTGCCAGGCAGATTCTGAGGAAATGCTGCATAGCCAGTGTAGCTGAAATGGATAGCTCCAGGTTCCATGAAAGACCTATCTACACAACAGTAAGGTGACAGCAACAGACATAATGCATGGATGCATGCACCCACATATAAGTGCACAAACATGCATAAGTCACAAGCACAAATATCAGTTAGTTAATTAATTAAATTGAAAACAAAGTTTATGATTTGGTTTAGGCTTAAATGATAAAAGATTGCATGTAGAAAATAATCTAATTATAATTACTTCTACTACTTAAAGTGATGTGGCTTCTCTGGGAACTAATAACTGCTCTTCCATCAGCTCGATAGTTTTTTTTTCCTTTGTAAAGTCTTCATAAACAGGACAGACTCACCTGTCTGATGTGTTTGGGTGTAGACCTACTAGGGAAATAAATAATTTATTATTTTTAGTGATTCTAATATCTAATACCTGATTCCTTTTGTATGCTTGGATCATGTCTTTAAAGCAATGGCAGGGTATGCAATGGTTAAAAATGAAGTACCAATGCCAGAAATTTTAAAGCCTAACTGAGAGTTCACCAATAGTACACATCATACCACCACCAAAATCCCAATCTTGCTTCTGTTTATGTCAGTGTTTTCACTGAGTCAGCCTTCATCACCAGGCACAGTGGTAAACTCGAGTCACGTATTTACCGTCTGTGTTTCCTAGTTTCTTTGTCAACATGTACCTGTGAATCTGGAGTCACCATAGATTAATTTTGCCTGCTCCTCATCCTCAGATTTGACATGATTCATCTTCCAGTCACTGATGAAAAATTCACCTGTGAAAAACACATTCCTCAACACAGTCCTTTCATTTCATGTCTAACCATGTTTTCCCTCTAGGGTACGCAGGGAAGAAAAGTGAGGAGCTACCTGACCATGGTTTTCCTTCTATGTACTGGGGCTTTGGGTCACAGGCTTTGTCTCCCTGAGAATCCTTTTTTGAAGTTCCTAATGGGAATAAAAGAAAAACACAAGGCTGATGTGATGGCTGAGTTTAATCCCAAGCATTCACACGGTAGAAGGAAAGAACTGACTCCTGGAAGTTTTCCTCTGACCTTCACATATGTACTGTGATACACACACACACACTCTCTCTCTCTCTCTCTCTCTCTCTCTGAATGAGCTGAGTAAGACAAATTCCTTATGTACATAACAACCCAAACCCCAATATGTGTGTCATAACCAACCATAATGAAATCACTTAATAATTTTAATTGTTGAGGGAGGCTCTGTGGCAAAAGTTGTTTGGCCACACAAAGTGGGGTTATATTTATCAACCTCTCTTATAGCAAAGTTTACTAGATGTTTAAATTCTAACCAACAAGAGGGGTCTGGAAAGATGGCGTAGCCATTTAAGAGCACTTGTGCTTGAAGAGGGTCCAGGCTCTATTACCATCTCCCATATGGTGTTTCATAACTATCTTTAACTCCAGTTCCAGAGGATCCAACGCCCTCTTTTGGTCTCTGTGGGTATTGCACACATGGGCAGACATGTAAACAAGCAAAATACCCATACACATAAAATAAAATTTAAAAATACTGTTTTTAAAATATGGTTTTTCAAGACAGGGTTTCTCTGTGAACAGTTCTGGCTGTCCTGGAACTCACTTTGTAGACTAGGCTGGCCTCAAACTCACTGAGATGCACCTGTCTTTGCTCCAAATGCTGAGATTAAAGGAGTGCACCATTACCACCTGGTTAAAAATACTTTAAAATATTTAAAGTTCAGGGTGTTTTTTGTTGTTGTTGTTGTTGTTGTTTGAAATAAAGATTTTGGAAACTCTTATAAAAAAAAAGCAAAAATTAAAAATGTAAAGTCCTGGTTTTGCATGTTTGTTTTCCTTAGACAGGGTCTCTCTCTATGTAGCTTTGACTGGCCTGGAACTCACTATGTAGACCAGGTTGGCCTCCAATTTGTAGCAATTTGCTTTCCTCTCCCTTCTGAATATGGAGATTAAAGGCATATACCGCCATGCTTGGCCCATTTGTTGTTGAAATAAAAGAAAAATTAGAAGTGACTTGCATTTGAAACAAAAATGTTTCTGCCTTAAAAAAAACAACTAAATTATTGCTAGATTTTATATTAATGGACTTTTGATACAAATGAAATTCTAGGTAAATTAATAATAAACATTCTGGTTTTCATTTCATTGAGAGTTCAAAGTTTAGACTCAAGTGTCAAGCATCAAAACCATCAGAGGTTTACATGACATTATACCTACGCCAGCAGAGATCTTAACTAAAAGGTTTTCTAACCGCCACTCCAGAAAATAGAAAGATAATTTTACAGAACCAAATAGCTACCTGGAAGGTGATCTTTTCTGCTGCTCCCTGATGGATGATCCTTTTTGCTGTATGTGGGAACTGACTCAAGCTGTTGGGTATCTGTATCAGCTTGCTCTTCAGTTATGATAGGCAAATGCTCTTCTTGTAGAGATTCCATTTTATCGAATTCCGAGGCTTCACTTTCTTTTAAGAGGCTGTGTTCTTGTAACTGTGAGATTGAGTCTGAGTCCGGTTCTTCTGGGATGGTGTCTATCGGTGATTCCTTTTCTAACTCATACTGTGGCTCTTCTGGAATGGACTCTTTTTGTAGTTCATATTCTGAAAACGACATTTTGTGGCCCCCCGACCCTTTGCGCTGACCTTGATCCATCGCTGATCCTCTGCGCGACTCGTCTTCTGAACCCCTATGAGACTCCTTATCTATAGACAATCTTTCTTCCTGTTCTACTATTGATGCTCTGTGTTGCTCAGGTTCTGAAATTGACCCTTTCTGTGATCCTTCTTTCTCTGCTACTGCCTCTCTGTGTGGTTCTTGTTCTGACACGGATTCTCTGTTTGGGTCTTGCCCTGTCTGCGGCTCTTGTTCTGCTGCTGTGCTTCTTCGGGACCCTTGCTCTGCAGCTGACCCTCTCTCTGATCTTGGTTCTGTTGCAGAACTTCTGCGGGACCCTTGCTCTGAAACTGACCCTCTCTGCTGTGTTTGTTCTACTGCAGAACTTCTATGCGACCCATGCTGTGCTGACCCTCTCTGCTGTGTTCGTTCTGCTGCGGAACTTCTGCGGGACCCTTGCTCTGCAGCCGACCCTCTGTGTGATTTTGCTTCGGCTGTGATACTTCTGCGGGACCCTTGTCCGAATGATTTGCGCCCTTTGCCCTGTCCTACTCCTGAAAGTGATCCTTTGTGGGGTCTATGTTCTCTGCTGGCTCCCTGTGAAGCCAGATGTGTTCCTGACTCTCTGGCTGACTCTGGGGATGCTTCTTGGTCTGCACTTGTCTCTGTCTGCTGTTGTGGGAGATTTTTATCTTCTTTTTCTTGGGCTTTGCTAACAAGCTTTTCAGCAACTAACACATTCATTTTTAAGAGCAGTTTATCAAAATCTTCATAAATGTGCTTCTTAACATCCATATCTCCCCAGAACTCGGACAACTCTATCTCCTCAAATTCAATAAGTGGCCCTAATACAGACAGCAAAGAATTTATCTAAATTATTGATCTTACAGTACAGAATCAGAATTATTGAATTAATTCAAAAATGGCACTGAGGGCAGTGATTGTAACATAAGCTTATTACTTTAAAAATAAATATCAGAACTGGGTTGGGTAGCACATGTCTTAAATCCCAGCCCTTGGGAGTTTGAAACAGGCTGATCTCTGTGAGTTTGAGTCTAGCCTGGTCAATATAGGGAGTTCCATACATAAAGAGATCCTGTCTTCAACACAAAAAGCCCAAACAATCAAACAAACAAAAAATAAGGTACCTTTTGCTGCAACTAGATACTCAAAGGAACACAAAGAATTCTCACTATGAATTAATTATTAGCCCTTCTTGAAAGGTATGGTTTACAAAATGAACACATCTTTTCTTTTTGCTATTTGAAGTGTTGCTTGGGTTGCTAAAACACACAAAATTTGTCCCTTAACCTCTGTGGTCCCTTCTCACACAATACATACAGCATAGAGATGGGGAATGGAACTGCTTTCCATCTCAAATAGCTTTTAAAGTATCTACAATACAGGCTGGAGAAATGTGCTTGTTGCACAACACTGATGACCCGAGTTTGATCCCTAGAGCCCACACAGAAGTAGAAGAGAATCAATTGCACAAAGTTGCCCTATGACCTCCACATATGCACTGTGGTGTGCATGCACCCCACCCAACACATACATCACACTCAAATAATAATACATTAAAAATCCTACACTCTATAAGCAAAAGCTAGCAATCTTTCACTGGGTTCCATTCCTTCGTTTTCCTTCAATTCTTCTTTATTTCTCAACTCTCCTTCTATGATTTAGGTGGGCACATGTTCAGAATTTTCTACAAAGGAGTTAGCATAAAGCTCAGGGGTAGACTGTGTGCTTAATATGAGTTCAAGTTTTAGTAGAGAAGAAAGGGAGGGAGAGACAAAGGGCGAGATAAAGGAAAGAAGGAAGGACTTTAGGAAAGACTGGACCTTGCTGTTGATACCAGCAACAAAATCTGCTGGCTACAACTATACTGGCTGTGACCCCAGGTTAGGGGGAGATTTAGAGTCCCCAGGACTTACCAGGCTACATAGTGACACTCAGCTTGTAAAAGCACCCCCTCAAATAAAATTGCACAAAATCATGTCTGTCTCCATTCCTCTAAAAAATTTAATAATTAAGCTGTAATATCATGGCTCCTACAGCTTTCAGTATACCACCTACAGATCCTTAAGTATACAAGCAATAAGTCTACATGTAGATATTAATAAGATATTAACATCATTTAGCAAATTCAGCCATTAAAATACATTCTCTTTAAAAAATAAAAATAGGGCTGGAGGATCTGAATTGATTCCTCTGGTCCCACGTGGTGGGCGAAGAGAACTTACAGCTGCCTTCTGACTTCCATTAGAATGTTATAGCACTTTCCCTCTCATAATAGACAAGTGTTAAAAAGATCAACCCTGCAATGGTATTTATTAATAAACATATAAAAGACTATTTTAACATGTTAAGTATACATGCATATTTTACCACAAAAGCAATGTAAGTAAAGTTGCTTGGGAAAAGGAAATATCTCCCACAGAAATCTTAGAATTCTACACTGGACATTGTAAATGGAATAACCTTTCTTAGCTTAATTTCTAAGTCATTCAAATTATCACTAGAGCCTTTCTCACTGAAACACATTTAAACATCATTCTAGCTGAATTCTTCTGTGACATAAGTTTGAGCATTGCATTTTGGTGAAAAATCCATGTAGCTGTAAAGAAGAGTGAATTCTGTGGGAGTATGAACAAGTAGATAAGGTATGGCCACCATGACTTAGGGATATGATACGCAGAGATCTCTTGGGAGTGAAATGATCCCATGTTATCTACGGTTGTACACCCAGCTTCAGTACACTCTTACCTCTGCGTGACACTTACATTGTCTTGGGTTTCGGAGTAAACTCCTAGTGGTATGTGAACTTTGATCATAGAATGTTTCCAGCAAGGCCAGTGTCCTCTGCCGATCCAAGACCTTCACCTACACAGAAAGTTTGCCTGTAGTAGCTGCAGCAGATTTAAAGCTCTTCTGGTGCTAGATCATGACTTTCTGAGTAGTTTAGCATTATGACCACTACCAACTCCACCATTATCATGAAAATACAAACTACAGCATCAAAATCCATAAGATGGATCTTATATCAATTTCTCCTATTTTGTTACATCTCAAAACACTTTGGGCTTAATGGATATTTAACAAATATTTGTTGTGACTGGCTTTACTTTATGAATTCAATGCACAGTCCTCAGTTCTTATCTAACCTGACTTGTGCTTGTCATAGAAAACTGCTCCTTACTTGTTCTTTTTGTTTGTCTGTTTTGTTTTTTTCGAGACAGGGTGTCTCTGTGGCTTTGGAGCCAGTCCTGAAACGAGCTCTATAGACCAGGCTGGTCTTGAACTCACAGAGATCTGCCTGCCTCTGCCTCCCGAGTGTTGGATTAAAGGCATGTGCCACCAATGCCCAGCTTACTTGTTCTTTTATACTTGATTTTGAGAAAATTTTCATTATAGAAAAGCATAAAAAATGATAAAGCTAACACCACCTGTGATCTTAGTAGCTGGAATTAACAACTGTTTAAAGTAGCTACAGGGTTTGGGAGATTGTTCAGTTGGTAAAGTGCTTGCTTTTTATGCACAAGGATCTAAGTTCACTTCCCAGAACCCATACAAAAGAGCTGTGTGTGATGGTGAGTCCTTGTAATCTCAGCACCTGAGAGGTGGGGGCAGGTGGATCCCTGGGGCTTCCCTAGCCAGCCAATCTATTTGACTTGGCAAGTTCCAGCCAGTGAGAGACTCTGTTCCAAAGAAACAACAAAAAGAACAACACCCAAGGTTCTCCTTCAACTTCTACACATATTAAACATGCACATAAAAAAGCATTTACAAAAGCATATTAAACTGGTAAAACATGTGTCATTTGCCATTTAAATTGTGTTTTTGGAAGGGGATTGAGACAGGATCTTGCTATATAGCCCAGTATGGCTTGAGATTTGTTAGGTAGCCCTGGCTGGCCTGGAAGTCAATATCCTCCTGCTTTGTTTTTCCAAGGTCTGAGATTATGGGTGTTCCATACCATGTCTAGCTCTAAAAGTGATTTTTGTTTCTTCAGCATTGGAATCTAATTTATGTACATAAATATATTTTTATTCATTTTAGGGGCCAGAGAAATGGGTCAGAAGTTAAGATTACTTGATGCTTTTGCAGGTTCAGATCCCTGCACCTACATGGCAGTTCATAACTATCTATAGCTCCAGTTCCAAGAGATCCAATTCCTTTTTCTGGCATAGTCCCTGAAGATCACATGACCTACTGTCTTCGCATCTGTAGGCACCAGGAATGCATGTGGTGCATTTACATATATTCAGACAAAATATTCATACATGTAAGGTAAAAACTAAAGAAATCTTAAAAAAAGAAGTATATTTTACTCATTTTAGCTGCTATGCAATATAATATGAAAACATTGTAATTTCTTAGCATTCTTTTATTAATAGAAATTAGGTTGCTTCTGGTATTTTGAGAAAAATATGCTGTGATGAATAATCTTATATATACCTCCTAGTGTGCATTTAGATACATTTTTATAAAGTGAATATGTGGAATTACTATCAGTTTTGCTTGTAAATGGGTCTGTCCTCATTCCCTTCTGAGCTGTGGGACTAATAACAGGGCTAATGCCAGCTGAGAAGTAAAGGAGACTAAGATGTCCCCAGTTCCCCCAACCTGTTGTCTGACCACTGGGGGATTCACCCAGACCCAACAGGTAGAAAGCTTTAGGGGCTCCAGCCAGCTGGGCTTAGTCCCTGAAAGTCACATGGTCTATGATCTTCCCACTGCCATTTTCCCATCTTCCTGTTCAGTTCTGAATTGCAGCTTGATTCTAAAACAGCACTCACAGAGCTTCTCCAGAAATTTCTAGCTGGTTATTTATCTCATCCCCATAGACTCCTTTAGAATTTTATCAGTTTCCCAGCTCTGGATTCTCAGGCCTCTTTGAAATTCTTTACTTCTTTAACCCCTTGTAGTAATTCTGTAACACACTCACACACACACACACACACACACACACACACTCACACAAAGACACTCACACACATACACAGACACACACATACACACACATACAGATACTCACACACTTCCTTTCTTTCTAATTTTCAGTTTGTTTGTTTGTTTCGAGGCACAGTCTCTCAATAGCCCTGGCTGATCTGGAACCACTATATATGCCAGGCTGGCCTCAAAATCACAGAGATCCACTAGCCTCTGCATCCCCAGGGCTGGAATTAAAGGCATGTACCACCATCGCCTGGTTTAGTTTCCTTAGTTTCAACAGTGTGTTTACTCAAGTTTTCTTCTTTCTAGAGGGCTGGGGTACTTCTATGGTACTGCTACCATCTCCATTTCCAGAGACCTTCCGCCTGTTCCTCCTCATCTTCTCACAGTTTCTGAAGAGAGGTTCTCATAGAGCAGTCTCTCCCTCAGCCCAGGTTCTTGGGAGAGCTGGTTCAGATTATTTGACTGGATAGTAAGACCAGTTGACTTCCTCCCTGAGCCAGCTGCTCTCGTCCTGTTCTCTGCATGATACTCTATGCTGGTTCAGCCATAGATGCTTGTTTTGGAGTTTGGAGATCCTGTGTTCTGGAGCTGTTAAACTTTGTTTTTATTCCAGTATCTTCCTTCTTTCCTCCCAAGTGCTAATAGTGATCTCCCAGACAGAATCTTAGAAATCATCTGGGATGTCTAGAAAGATACACTGCAAAAGGCCAGGCAGGATTTTGTATTTGGGGAAGTTTGAAGATAAGATATCCTGACCTTATAATACAGCAAATTTAGCTTTGCTGATGGTGACCTGAAATGAGAATCTGGGTCTTTCTAGAATCTGATATGTGATCACCGCTTCTCCTTCAACCGCCACAGCCAATATATTATCATTCTTAGAGCATTTCCTGAACAGGTTCAATATCTCTCTGTGTCTCTCAAGAACAATTTCACAAGAATCATCCTACCACATATAGTTCTTGTTCACTAAAGCTGTTATTTTTATTGGATAAAAAATTCCAGAATGGGCTCAGTTGTTAAAGTATGTGTGTGTGTGCACACACACATATTATTTATTTAAATATACATATTACTATGTATATTGATATAGATTGTTTTACAAAGACACAATAACTATTAACTTTCACTAGGAATGTTTGGGAAAATGTTTTCTCTCTATTGAGCATACAGTGATTCTAAGGATTATGTGTTAGTATTCTTTGTCCATATTTCTTCAGGTGTTTATATGGTGTCCTGCCATTAGGTGCCAGTCATGGTGCTTGTTTGAGTATGTGGTATACAGACATCATGTTGCTTACTCCTTGGAAGTTTTGTAATGGCTCTTACTTTCCATGCCCTGGGTGGCTTTATAGAGATATTCTTTGAACTTCTCTGCACAGGTTACTCCCTTCACAATGCATACTTAGGAATGCTATCATTGGCTGTCACGATGAACAGAAAGTGCTCTTGGGTCTATTACTTAGACCACCTTCTGCTGTCCTTAAAATCGCCCACCATGCCACATCCTTGAACTTTCCAAATATTTATAATGTTACTTTCAGCCTCCAGCTCTGATTAGGACCAAGGTAGTAACCTAACTTAGAGACCCAGACACCATCTAAGTTAGTCCTAGTCTCTAGCCTCCTACCACCAGCTGGCCCCAATTTCCTAGTAAGACATAAATTGCTCTGATACTATTTTTTATATTATTAATAATTCTTCCTTGGTCTGGGATTCTCTGGTCTTTCTCAAGAAGCCAGTATTTTTATATTAAAATCCAGATTTTCTAAATATTTGTTTCAGCCACTGCTGAAAAAAAAATAATCCATTCAGAAATTCAATTGACTTTTGTGTCCTGGATTCAACCTTCCTTCCAAGATCACCACATGACTGTTTAATGATGGGAGGAAATCAAGGAGCACAAGCAAACCACTACTAATTTCTCCAAATAGTATCCTGCATGTTGACCATGGCACTTGAGTTGCTGTGAAATTAACTGGCCAACAGACAGTAATTACCTTCTAGGCATTTTACCAGGAAGTAAAAATCATGGCACCAGAATAACCTAGCAAGTTCTGACAAAGAGGCACTGTAACATGAAAAGTAAAAGACCCAGAGACAAATATTGGAGTTCAAACTTCAAGCTGAATATCAGAAAAGCAAAGAAGCTGGCCACTAGCTTCTTACCACTACCTTAGGCTGAATGGGCTGAACCTGTCTCCATGAGCTCTCACCAAGCCCCAGACTGTAACCTTTCCTTAGTGTTGCTGGAGAATGAATGCCTTTGTCTCCTATCCATGTATCATCATCAGAGCCATGAGCTTCAGTAGTAATTGTATCATGGATCCAATCCTCTAAAGGTGCTGATTTTGCTTTTATTTTAAAGTTGTAATTATCCTTTTGCATTGAGCATTTGCATTCACAAAAGCTGTAGTTTCCATTATTATTTTTCTAGCTTCTGTATCTATTGACTGCTAATGACAGTCTTTGTAAGAAGTTCATGAATATAAAATTTTAAGATCTAGCATAAGGGGATGGAGAGACTGCTTAGTGGTTAAAAGCACTGGCTGCTCAATCATGAGGACTAAGTTCAAATCCCAGCACCCAAGTAGAGTCACAAATGCCTGTGACTCCAGTTCCAAGGGTCTAAACCCTTTCTGGCCTCTGTTGGCACTTACATACACAAAAGATAGACTTAGAACAAGTTGAACATGCTGAAAAGCAATGCCACTCAAGGTGTGGGACAGGGTGGGCCCATTCAATAATAAGAAAGGTTCAAACACAGGTGTACAAAATCAGTAGCTGATAAGTCAGATTTTAATCAGATAAATTAAAAGGCAGATTGTACTCTCTGTGTTTCTTTCCTCCCTCTGTAATCCATTTCATTTTTAAATGGTGGTCAGTGGGCCACCATTATCAAGCCTGACATATCAGAAATTAAAACATCACTAACAACCATCACATCAAAGCTAGTCCCTCACAACAAATAGTGTGAGAAGTGAGCTCTCAATGTCTTACCTACCTTACCAGTGTCACAAAGCAGGAAGAGCTCAGCAAACATCTGTCTCTGCATGTCAGCTTTTATGATCTCCCGGAATTCTTCTGCACAGTGGCAAAGGTGTTTAAGTAGTTCCTCAAAAACTTCACTTTTCAAGTCTACAATGTGTGCAGAGATGTACTACAGAAAAAAGTGGGATAAGTTACTTAAAAACATGTTCTTTATTTGGGTTTTCCCAATGGTTTTCAGTCCACATACACAAATGATATAAGCTAGAAAATGTTTCCACATCATTTGCTTATCATTCAAAGTGTTTTCTTGCAAGTGCCCATCTGTGGACTTGCCTTAGTTTCTTTTCTATTGCTGTGAAGAGACACCATGAAATTAAACCAGAGAGATGGAGAGAGATGGAGAGGGAGAATGAGGGGGAGAAGGAGAGAGAGGGAGGGGGAGGGAGGGAGAGGAAGAGAGGAAGGGAGAGAGAGAGAGAGAGAAAAAAAAAGAGAGAGAGAGAGTTATGGTCTATTCCAAAAGCCCTTGGATCCCGAGCCTTTCTCATTCAGCCCTACTAAGTTGACTTCTAATTCTTGTAATTAATATGTAATTAACATGCATGTGAAAAAGTTCCATTTTAGTAATTTGCTACCAAAACAAGTCATTTGTTTTAAATAGAACATGTTCCTTATACATTCACGAGCACATTTAAAGTATTTTTCTTTCTAATTTATTTTTATTTTATGTATCTGAAAATTTTTCCTGCATGTGTGTATGTGTACCACATGGATGCCTGGTGCCTTGGAGGTCAGAAGAAGGCATCAGATCTCCTGAAACTGTGAGCTGCCATGTGGAAGCTTGGAATCAAACTTGGGTCCTCTACAAGGGCAACAAGTGCCTTAGCCACTGAGCATCTTTCCAGCTCAACATGAGCACATTTAAAGCTGATTGTTCATCTTACCTAGGCACATTTAGAATGCAGAATGTAAAAGACATGTTTGGGGTTAGATAGATGTCTCAGCAAGTGTTCTTGCTTAATCATGAGGACCAGAGTTCGAATCCCAGCACCCATATCAGCTGTCTCACAAATGCCTGCAAGCACCTCCAAAAAAATCTAACACCCTCTTGTGACATCTGAAGGGATCCCCACACATGTGTTTATACCATTCCACAGATGGAGACACTGGCACATATACACATACACTTTTTAAAAAGATGTATTGTACTTGTAGCCACATAAATGAATTATAAACTATTACTCGACTTGCAAAAAAGGTTGCTTGCTTGTTTAGAAGCAAAGTCTCACCTTCAGCCAGGCCTCAGATTCCTTTGTAGACAAGACTAGCCTTAAATTGCTGAACCTTTTACCTCCACTTCCTGACTGCTGAGATTATAGTTATAACCTACCATACCTGGATTCTGCTGTGCTGGGGTGTGGTAGGTACCATTCTACCAACCCAGCTATATCTCTACCACCAGCTGTCATTATTCTTGATAGGTCAATGTGCCACACAGTTAAGTTCTTATCTAACTGGAGAAAGCAGAGTAGTACAAGGGGTTAAAGTTTTGTCTGGGTTCAAAGCCCAATTTCTAATTTTTCATTTACAAAATGGGTATCACAGTAGCAGTTATCTCAGAGGATATGGTGAGGTCACAGGAATGTGTGCACAGTATGCCCAGGATCTGGAAAATCCATGTAATAACTTTATAGCCATTTTTCTAGTTTACTCCACAGCTAATTAAGAAATTGATGAATGTCATTTCCTTTATAGAATAAGACAGTCCCTTCCAGTGGATAGAAAATATATTCTTAGAGGAGGAGAGCTAAATGAGATCAGTGATTTTTACAGTGTGGTCCATACACCGACAGCATCACCTAAGAATGTGCTGGGAATACAATTTGGAGCTGTGCCCTGAGTTACTGCATCAGAAATCCTGGGGTTGAGATCAGTCTATGTTTTAATAAGCCCTGTGGGGGATATAGGTTTACTAAAGTATGAGAACCATTGAGCAGGATAATGCCAGGTAATTGGTCCTAATTAGTTCAGTATGCTAAGATTTTATTGTTTAGTACTAATGAATCTTTGCTTGATTAATAGACATTTTTCTAATTTACCCATATTGTAGAATTATTGCATTTTTTATATTGTGGGTCGATCCTCTAATATTAAAAAAGATTGGTTCATGATAAAAATATCTCTTTATATTGTATTTAGCTTTTGGGAATCAATGCTAAAACTGTGTGAATTTTTGGGGTGTGGGGATTCTACTGAATCAAGAATTAGCTAAAAACTTCTGTCTGAAAGAAAGTTCAACACCCTGGATTCATAACCTATGGATTTTCAGAGTGAGCATATTCTAATTATGAAATGTGTCAGTTATATAACATAAAGATTGCCAGTCATCCACCTAACCACAAATTCAATTCTAAATAGAACAATTAGGAAAAGTTAAATGTCTTATAAGAACAGAGGAAAAGTAAAAATATTTGGGAGCCTTTGTGTTTTTATACCCTTGCAAAGGATGACTCAAAACAAGTCTTTAGTAGAGCTTAATGACTGTCACTTTAAAAGCTCTGTGAGCTGTTTAACATATGAATGGCCTTTTGTCAAGCCACCTCTCTGAGCCAAATCTCAAAAAATAAAATAAAATAAACTCTCTCTGGGTTTTTCTATTCTTATTTGACATTGAGAACACGGCAAATGTCACATTTAATAGATTGGTAGCTGCAGTCATGAGTCTACTGTGTTGGGCCATCAAGAATCATGCTTATTTAATTGCAGAAATAATGGAGAGTTTAGAGTAGCCAATGCAAGAGCAATGGGAAAAGAACCATGCTTGGAAACAGTCTAGCTGAGGTGGTAACTTCCAATTTGTATCTGTAAGCCTTGGTAGTTTACGAGGAGTCTGTAAACAAGGTGTAGATTATGTTTGTGATCAAGTATTGAGGAAGTGGTTTGTTTGTGCAGACTTTGGGCAGAAATCTAGCTCTCTGGTTTCAGAGGAAGAGTTTAAAGAAGAACAATTACTAAGGGTTGGGGATACAGCTCAGTGGCAGAACATTCATTCAACACACACAAGGACATGGGCTTGATCCCAAACACCATATACAAAAAGGTAATTATAGCTAGTTCTACACTAAGCAGTACTACTCTTGAATCTTGTCTTTTCAAAACTCTCTCTAGCAAATGAATTAAACAAAGGCCACATTTAACACTCGGTAAAAGTAAAAAAAAAAAAAAAAAATTGACTAAAACATACAGCATTGCCCCTTATTAGTGAAATATAACAGGTAATGACATGAACTAGATGGTATTTCTCCTAAATTCCTGTTGCAGGCCTAATCCTTAGTATCTCAGAATATATCTGGAGATAGAGTTTTTGAAGAGGTAATTAAGTTAAAATGGGGTTTTTAGATGTAGGTCCTCATCTAGTGGGACTCCTTGTATGAAGAAGAAATTTGACACACACAGCTGGACAGATATGTAAAGGCACATGGGAAAATAGTCATCTATAAACCAAGGAGACTGATTATCAACATAAACCAAACTTGCGGACATTTGTCTCAGATTTCTAGCCTATAAAATTATAGAAAATAAAATTTTTGTTATTTAATTCACTCGATCTGTAGTTCTTTGCCATGGCAACACTAGCAGAGTACTACAGGTGATGAGGAATTGCTAACCAGTCAGTTCCTGTTATGTTTTTCTTACAGAAGAAGTCTGTCCAGGAAAAGACACACTCACTTAGAGGCTTGTTCACCCACCCTTTCTTATTTCTCTGGCAGAGAATTCTCTCCCCTCACCCTAGGTTTTCTCATGTATTTTTCATAACATACTTTTGCTGGTAACTTCTTCCAAAGCTACATAGCCTCCATTCTCCTATTCTACCCCACAATACCTCAGAGTACACGAGTAAAGAAAACAAACAAAAATAAAGACATTAATGAGCTACAGAGTCTAGAAAACCTTTGAGGTATAAAAGACCACAATGGGAAAAATTGAGTAGAACATATCAAGGAGAGATACAATCTTTTGGACACAGTTTATGAAACCTTTCACATCAGTTTGAAGGCCTCAGACTTAAATGATTGACATTAAACAAACCCATAAGAAAGGGATCACCCCAGAGTGAAATACCACTAAGAAGAGAATAAGACCCAAACAAGAGAATACAAGCAGAGGCATGGCCTTCTTACTCCTGGCTGAGGGATGCAGAGCTTCTCAGCATGAAGAATTGAAAGCTAATATCAGAGTTCTCTCACAAGTATCAATGTATGGATTATCCTTCAGCTCATTATTTAATTCAGGGATGGCCTCAGGTTGTCTGAAGCCCAAACTTACTGAAGGATGCCCCTGAGAAACCAGCCTTTACTTTACACTGTCTCACAATAATCAGGGACACAGTGGGTAATTTACATTTGCCTCTAGTGAGCAGTTAAGTGTGTGGCATCTCTTTAATAATCAGATGGGCCAAAAATTCAGGTAATGATGCAAGTGTAGGAGCCACACCGAGTGTTTCCCTTCTCCTGGGACTTCACTCATTTTAACCCTGAAAACCCCTTGGTCCATCAAACTCCTAGTCTTAGGTAACCAGAATGACTTGATATCCTGCTGTTGTTTGAATCTAAACATCCTTCCCTGGTCCCATCCAGCATGTACATGCATCCATGTAATTGCACACAGAGAGGCATAAACTCCTACTTGTACCTACAAATGTATTCAATTCCATTCCAACAGAATACATTATTGTGCTGTGCCTAATAGCTTGTGAAGCAGGAGACAATTTTCTCAGATGGTTATTTTGAAGCTTTTGGAGGGGTTAAAAAGTAAGAAGTATATTGTAGTCAATGAAGAGACATTATCTATTCTGAAAACAGATACACAAGAAATCAGTACAGACACATCTATGAGCTTTCATCCCCCCTTCCTGTGATTTCCCCTGTTGTGACTCAGTAATTGTCATTTTTCCAAACATATTCCATAGTGCCTCTGCTGGGTAGCACTTGTAGTTAATATCTTGTCTTTAAGCCTAATATTAATATTTTCCTCCAGTTTCACAAGCAGATTCCAGTAAAATGCCCTTAAAGCAAACCTCTGGAGAAGCAAGTGACATAAGTCAAGTGGCTTGTGCCTAGAAAACCACTAGTGTTAAGAGGCTGAGGTAAGAGGCTGGAGTTCAAGGCT